TGGTAAAACTATTAGAGGATAGACCATCGAGAAATATTTTTTTATGCAACTGAGAATGACAAACAAGCTGACGGTCCACCTGATGGAAAGTGGTAACTGTCGCCTAAGGAACCTGTGAACATAACAGAGTATATTGTGTAACCCATGATACTCCCCAAGCGTTGCCATTCCTGGAAGCTAAGTTGTTATACCTCTGTACCCTGTAATTTCCCTATCATATCTCACTGTTCAAACCGAAACACAGTTATACAAACACAACTGCTTCGCGGCAGAAATAAGAAAGGGACAGAGGTACCCAAACATAGGACTTTTGTACAAAATCTCTCTCTGGTAATAAATTGCAGTCTTGACCCAAATCAAGTAAAATTTAGTTTATAGTGAGCCTTAATCATTTTAGATAGACTCATCATTTGAGATGGACAATGTTACTACATATTCGACTTTTCTGTCTCGACTGACTGCTCACGAACCTACTGCATTTAGAAACATGTATGTAATTTTACTCCATTTTCTAAGTACTGTATAGGAATTTCCCAAAATTTTCATAAGAATTTGCAAGTATGGTAATAGTGATGGTCAATGAATGAACATGAAACAGTAACTCTTCTTGCACTATCGGTATACGTTGGTAGGATACCAATGAGTAATGATAGGTACAGATGAGCCAGGTTAATTGCCCAATCTTATAATTCACCAGGAATGAAATAATCACGATAGTTTCTTGGGTAGACCGCGAGGAGATCAATTTAATGAGGTGTGTCATGTATAAAGGCTAGCAAATAGTTTCCATTACTATCCAAAAGTTTGAAACTTCGATCTGATACTATATGATCTAATACACCCGGTATTGCTAGCAATGCTAGCAAATGGTTTCCATTACTATCAATCCAAAAGTCAGCGAATAAACGTACGATTATCCGAGAGACACCCAATCTATAAGATTACGTAAATAGCCACAGAACATTAAAACCGCATTGCTACAGATCATGAACAGTGTGAAAATACATAACCCAGTTAAAACGAACCAGGTTAAAGATATTACGCGAACAGCAATAAGGGATTGACGCAAGCAACACGCAGATGTTGGATCTTGTTCCCGATGCTGAACTATTGTTTGTAGGTGCTATAAAATGTTTAAGTGTCTTAACCGATTTCAGGAACTGGAGATTTGGTTTTGGCGTTATTTATAAATTTGGATAATTGTTGTGTGTGACTGTAGCGTCATAGTAGACAAACGTTCTATTAAGGAATGAATAGGCAATTTTGTAATTACTTATGGAAAGATATGGCACGGCACGATGGAGTGACGACTTCCAATGCATTGAATGCAGGTGACTCAAGACCGTTCATTAGTATAATAGTCTATGGAGGGGTGGGGGGGGGGGGGGCTATATTTAACAGTGGACAGATAATGGCTGAGGTAATGATGATGTTGGCAAAGCTTGATTTTTTCGCTGCCATATATGCTATACCAGAGGGAGATTTTGTACAAAAGACATTGTATGGGTCTTTATTCTATTCGTAACTGCTGTGAAGCAGCTGAGCTTACCCAGCTGAACATAGCCAAGTAAGCTACCTGGTTATGTTTCAGTTTGAAGAGCGAAATATGGCAGTGAAATTACAGGGCTCGCGGGTATAATATCGTATTACTTAGGAGTGACAATATAAGAGCATAACAGTGTGTTGTACTGTATAATACTGTTTATGCCTATAGGCGACGGTTATCCCTTTTTATCAGGTAGGCCGTCAATTTGCTTGCCATAAAAAAATAGGAAAGAAAAATTGTTATTGTATAAATCTGTTATTTATGTGTATGATGCTCACGACCACTTTCTACTAGCGTACAGCTCACAATCAACAAGTAATTCTCCCCCATATCTTAGAGCCTAGATGGTTGCGTACAGCGCGTTTTCAAGAGAGGTGCAAGAAGCAATATGTGGTTCTTAAAAAGAGCTAAAGAATTTTTTTCAGGGTTGGCAATGCCAGGGTCTGGTATTTTTTTTCTGATGGGTGAAAATGGTATGGTAACCCCGCCTACGCTAACGGGATACGCTGGCGGAGCACCAATGAAGGGTGACAGATGAGAATGAAAACAAGCCAGTTAGCCCATCATGATGAATTTATCAGGAATTAACCATGATAGTTTCCAGGGAGAACCGCGAGGAGATCGACCTAGTTGGGTATATTACTAGCAATGGGATTCCCAGTCTCCATTACTAACAATTCCTTTCCCCCAAAGGTCTGGTATTGCAGGCGTTCATAGGCTACGGTAACCGTTTACCATCAGGTGGTATCGTATACTTGTTTACCACTTCAGTGGTATAAAAACATCTATTTATAATAACATGATATCATTGACGTTAAATTTAATAAACATCTTCATACAATTACATGCATTTTATTTAATCGCTCATAGCGTAGTTACGATATAATCATGCCATGTCATGCCGTGCTATGATAAATTATAAAAATACCCGACGACTGTTATTATTATCATGCCAGTGCAATTAAATAAACAAATATCCTTATGTTATGTTTGTTTTATCACTTTATTTTTTTTTTATTCTTAACCGAATTTAAAAGTAAGAGGTTCACAATTCGGTTAATTTTTTATGTTTGTTATCTCACGATTACGTGAGTTGTAAATCGATTTGGATTTTTTTATCTGAAAGGATATACTTACAGATTAGATTTACAGAAGTTTTATCAAACTCGGTTCAGTAATTCAGTTTTTTAATCAAAATTACTGGTTTTACCACAAAATTGAAATCGGAGTTTTTTTGTGGAACCCAATCATAATTATGATGTTTCAATCCTATTGAAATTTATTCTAAACTAGCTATATCCCGCGTATTCGCCCACGTGAGTCATTATTATAAAGTGTCCTATGTTTAAAGTTTTAAGCTAAGACTAGGACCTATCCGTGTTTCAAATTTCACTCAAATCCATTTAGTAATATTGCGTGAAAAATAACAAATATCCATCCATATGCCAACGTTTATGGGGGGTATCATGGGCGAAACAGTATACTCTGTTATGTCCAACTGCTGTATGTTATGCTGATAGAAAGTGGGAAAGTGGTAACCGTATATACAATAAGCAGTAATACCATGGACATAACAGAGTATACTGTTTCGCCCATGATACCCCCCATGCGTTGCCATTCCTGAGGACTCAAGTGTTATTCCTCTGTACCCAGTAAATTCACGCCATATCCCACCCTTCAAACCGAAACACAGCCATACAAACACAACTGCTTTACGGTTGAAACACGAATGGGACAGAGGTACCCAAGCAAACGACTTTTGTACAAAGTCTCCCTCTAGTGAAAGAAAACTATACATTCTCAGAATCTTTCGCCTTATTGTAATAAGTAGTACTTATTAGCTTCGCGTAGTTCGAGTGTTTACGCGCTAAATATAAACACTTTTTTTTTACAACACAGGGGGCAAACGAGCATGCGGCTCACCTGATGGTAAGTGACTACCGCCGCCCATGATCACCCACAACACCAGCGGCATTGCAGGTGTGCTGCCGGCCTTTTAAAAAGGAATATGCTCTTTTATTGAAGGTATATTAAACACTACCATTTTTCTTCTAATTGTGTAATGAAGTGTAAAATGTACATTTAAATAAAACATTGACCCAGTAAGTAAATTAATGTTAAGATCAGAGTTTAAATCAAGCATCCAATTGGGTACAATATTAGTAATGCAAAACACGATTACACGAATTTAATCTTGGAACATCTTTGTTTCAATGGGTTCATTCCACCGTCTAGAACGTTCGATATCTTCGATTGACGTAATACTCGCCCTTAATTTAGCACAGTCGCATCTAGTTTTCTTATAGCGGTTAAAAGTTCAATGAACCCGTTCGGTCGGCTATCCGGCCGTAAATGTTTTATTAGGGGTTGCGATAGTGCGGCAAAGTACTTTCACGCATACAGCTCATACTTGTATACTCAGCTGTATTCTCATACCAGAAAGTAAATACATACGACGTAAGTATCTATAATACTAGCCGTTATCCGCGGCTTTACTCGTATGAATTTTGTTATGATATAATTTATAGAATTTATCAACTACTAGCGCGACTTTGTTCACGTGACCAGAATACGTTAATTTAATGGTATAAAAAGTAAAGTATGTCTTTCTTCATCCCAAATATTATATATGTGGCAAATTTCGTAACAATTGGCTAAACCGTTAAAGTACCAAGACGTAACAAACAAACTTACTTTCACATTTATAATATTAGTCAGAAGTAAGGTTAGCTATCCAAGCACCATTTAAAAAAAAAATATTCTAAACTACACATAGGCAAACAGGAGATATTTAATATGAAGTAGGATTAAAAAGGGACCAAGTACAAATCCTTGTGATACACCTATTTTTACGTGAGACCTGTTACATGTAGCGACATTTACTTTTTTTTTATACAACTTAGAATGGCAAACAAGCTGACTGCCCACCTGATGTAAAGTGGTAACTGGTGGTCGCCTATAGACATGAGCAGTACCATGGACATAACAGGGTATACTGTTTCACCCATGATACCCCCCATGCGTTGCCATTCCTGAGGACTCAGATGTTATTCCTCTGTACCCTGTAAATTCACGCCATATCTCATCCTTTAAACCGAAACACAGCCCTGCAAACACAACTGCTTCACGGTTGAAACACGAATGGGACAGAGGCACCCTTTTCAACCGACTTTAAAAAGAAGGAGGTTCTCGATACATTTGTAGTTTTTTTATGTTTGTTACGTCATAACTTCGTTAGTTATAAACCGATTTGAAAAATTATTTTCTTCTCGAAAAGGATATACATACAGATTGGTGTTATAGATGTTTTATCAAAATCGTATCAGTGGTTTAGGTTTTAAATCAAAGTACCTGTTTTTGTCATAATTAAAAGCTGTTTTTATTTAGAACACAACCTTATTAATTTCATTTAATACTTTATCGTACACACTAATTTTACATAAAACATACGAGACAGGCGTGACAGATATGTATGTATGTATGTACATACGACAGAAGTAATCAAATGTACAAAGGCGAGTTTAACTCTAAAAGAGTTCTCTTCCAGCAAATCCAAAGTGGAAAGAAATACAAATATCAGCGGGTAGAGTGAACTAAACTATTATTATTTAAAGTTTAGTTATTATTTCGAATAGAATATTTTATTATTTTTTGCTGAGACTTTAATAAATATTAAGGTATAAATTTTAGTATTTTACTTCATAAAAAAAATATTTTTATTTGTAATAGAACTCATGGCTGGACTAGGTAGAATTTAATTTTACTACTTGACAATTACGGTTAAATTAAATTTATTATTAAATTACATCGACTATAATGTATTTATTTATTTAATTATTATATTTATATTAAATTCCGTTATTTTCTCTCTTTCTCTCTCCGTCCACTTCATTACTGAAGGTCGTGTCCTTGAAAGGTGTCTGTTGTCTCTCTTATGGTGTTATTCCATTGTGCACGGTCTTCAGCTTCTCGCAGGGCAGCTGCAATTGACAGTCCTGTAACAGCGGTTACTTGGTCCGACCATCGATTAGGCGATCGTCCGCGCGGTCTTTTTCCCTCTATCTTGCCTACAACCATTAGTTTGTCCAGATTGTCGGACTGTCGTCGAGCAACATGACCGAAGTATCCAAGAATCCTCCGATAGCAGACTGTCGAGAGCCTATCTTTTATGCGGAGTTCTATTATTCCATTTGTAGTGCCCGGGCCGTCCGTGACGCCGTGTGAATAAAAATACAATTAAATAATCAAACAGCCTTTTTATATTTCTTAAAAAAAAATGCAATTTAACTTGTTTCACAAATCCATATAACATTATAGTAATTAACCAATCAACTAATTAACCAACAAACCAAATTTCGAATTTAAATTTGGTTACCATAGATTTCTTATTTCTTTTCTGCCATAGATTCAATATTCATTTTTTATCATAGATAAATTATCTGTCTATTATAAACATCTTTTTAAATATACATCACCATTATTAATAAATACAATTACAATGCACAATTTTATGTAACATTTAACACACCAACAGACCGTGTAAGGTATTAAATATATACCTTCTAATCATATATAAATATTACAAATTAACTGGTACAGTTGGCACTGCATACAATATTATCGCCCATCTTTCAACATGTTTACTGTTCTATTTAATACAAAATATTCCATAATATTTATAGGTGTAAGCAGATACACGTTTATAGTACAGCTTGACAGGTTTTTTTTTTTTTTGGTGAATAAAAATGGTATGGTAGCCCTGCCTGCGCTAACGGGATACGTTGGCGGAGCACCAGTGAAGGGTGATCGATGAGAATGAAAACAGGCCAGTTAGCCCATCATGATGAATTCATCAGGAATTAACCATGATAGTTTCCAGAGGGAACCGCGAGGAGGTCGACCTGGTTGGGTATATTGCTAGCAATGAGACTTTTAGTCTCCATTACTAACAATTCCTTTCCCCCCACAGCTTGACAGTTCTCAATCGTATTTTGTATTTTGTCTCGAAACTATTATTATAATCATCATCATATCAGCTGTTAACTGGCCACTGTTGAAGGCCTTCCTCTTAAGGGACAGGTATAGCTAGTAGTTGCCACGCTTGGCAGGTGGGCTGGCAACCGCAGTGCAGCTTTGGTGATGTTTTAAAAAGGACGCTGTTGCTTATCGTTCGACCATTACTTTATAAAGAGGAAAGATTTGATTTTTTTATTTATAATGGATAAACCTAAAAAAATATTTACTCTTGTACTCCAATCTTAGAAATTATTTTTACATGGGCTATATTTTATTTAAAAACTAGCGGCTCATCCCGGCGTCGCACGGGTGGACATTTTTACATTTTAAAAAGTGGCCATTAAGGCTGCACACGCGACGGAAGCTTAAAAATGGAGTAACTTCTCCCGTTTTCCCAACATTTTCCTTCACTGCTCTGTTCCTATTGATCGTAGCGTGATGAAAAGTATACTGTAACATGCCCAGGAGTATGAAGAATAATTGTACATAGTTTCGTTAAAATCCGTCGAGTAGTTTTTGTTTCTATAACGAACATACAGACAGACAACAATTTTACTGATTGCATTTTTGGCATCAGTATCGATCACTAATCACCCCATGATAGTTATTTTGGAAATATACTTCATGTACAGAATTGACCTCTCTACAGATTTATTATAAGAATGGGAATTGTTCAAATTGGTTTACAAAAAAATAAAACTGACGTAGTCATGAGGTAACAAATATAAAAAATATATATAACAAAATTGAGTCCTTCCGTCCTTCTTTTTGAAGTCGGTTAAAAATACTCCAATTTCATGCCACAACGTTTCTAGATTAAATTCCGTCTAAATTATTCTAGATATACCCGACCGCTTTGCAGACTAGACATTTATTTATGGTTATAAACGGACGAAAGAGCAGCAAGGACATAACAAAAACTTTTTTTTTTGTACACGATACTTCCATTGTATAAAAAAAGGCCCCGAAAGGGTCATCACATTTGTTTAATGTACCATAAATTGATCCACATACTTATTTATCGATTGACCTGAATTACAAATTACCTACAATAGGCCGGTTGCCCTGAATATATGCTTACATGGCTGGCTTCTATAAAATTATTGGTAAGTACTAACTAAAGAGATATGTAAAAATCTTGCAACATCAGACGTGCGTAGTGGAACCGATTGCGTATGTAAATATTATAAACATTCAACACAAATACTGTGAAATCTAAGTGCAATTCTTTTAAACAATATGATAAAGTTGTTAGTGAAATAAAATAAACCTACTTGTGTGTTAATAAAGATTATTCTATTCTGTTCTGTTCTACATCTCATATGATTCTTTTTTATACTACTGAGGTGATATTTGTAAACATGCGGCTCACCTGATGGTAAGTGACTACCGCCGCCCATGATCACCCACAACACTAAAGGCATTGCAGGTGTGCTGCCGGCCTTTTAAAAGGGAATATACTCTTTTCTTGAAGGTTAAGTTGTCGTATTGGTTCGGAAATACTGCTGCTGGAAGTTGATTCCAAAGAATGATGGTAAGCAGTTACTATGAATGTTAAGGACATTACGCACGCGTTGCCGACCCTGAAAAATCTCATTGCCCTATTTTTTAAGAACGCTGTGGTGTAATCTCTTTGTGAAAACTCAACAGGGGCTCATTAAATTTCAGAGATGCTTTCTTCCTTGAATGGAAGAAATCATCTCTGAAATTTCGCTGTACTCGCTACTGTATAATATCCTTTATTTTTATATTCTTCAGAATCTGAGTTTCATTCTATATTTCTACCTAGTATAAGTTTTTATGGAGATTTTTTTTTATGCAATTTAGAATGGCAAACTAGCTGACGGCCCACCTGATGGAAAGTGGTAACCATCGCCTATAGACATGAGCAGTACCATGGACATAACAGAGTGTACTGTTTCGCACCGTTTGATACCCCTCATGCGTTGCCATTCCTGAGGACTCAGGTGTTATTCCTCTGTACCCTGTAAATTCACACCATATCTCACCCTTCAAACCGAAACACAGCCATACAAACACAACTGCTTCACGGTAGAAACACGAATGGGACAGAAGTACCCAAGCAATCGACTTTTGTACAAAGTTTTCCTCTGGTAATATATGGATAATCAATCTGTTTACGATATGAGAGTAAATATCTTTAAACCTCATAGTTTGCGATGGTAGACGATTCCCTGTTCAAAGGTGGACATACCAGTACCCCAAGGGATTACATAATTTAACTTATAGCTTACTCCATCTGTATTATTTGGATTATATTAATTAAAAGTATAGAGTGAGAAGAAATACCATCTTTTATTCTTTCTCTAAGTGTGTGTCTATGCTGGATTACAAACCATAGATTATTATAGTTCCTTAAAGGGTATCATACGCTATTACTTTTAGTCTATTACAACATGTTTTGGGAAACTGTAAGTAAAGTGAGTAATTTATTCTTAAACAAATAAATTATTTAATCAATCATGCATATATTCTGACAATTTTCGTCCAAATTAGAACGGTACAAGCTTAAACTTGAAAACAACAGATATTAAGGAAGTAAATTCATCACTTCATTATAATATTAATTTGAAATAATACATAATACTAAAATACGTAACGAATTACTAGAATCCTCTCAAACTTCCGTCATACGTATATTCATTTTGAACGTGCATAAATTACTCCAATTTTGGACCTTATAGTGACACAGTAAGGTTCACTTGGACAACTCAAGTTACATATTGAGTACCTATACTACACTTTAGTTCCTACGCACCATAGGGAGTTGCCGGATCCAATTGTCCTATTTACTCGTAGGGAGCATGTCATCGGATGCTGACGTAGTTCGATTATGGAAATTTTTAGGCCTCATCATTATGCCCACTTAGCAGCGTGGAATCGTACTAAATAAATGGAATAAAAACTAGGGATGAAGACGGAAGATGGAATTATACAAATTTTTAATCACCTGCCATGCTAATACAATATGTACAGTGGCAGGATACTAATAGAGGAAGGAGTATAAGGACCAACTCAGGTCAGTTAGCCCGTCATTGCGAATTTGCTAGAAATACCATACTAGTTTCCAGGACAAATCACATGTAAATATTTTATTTGGATGATAATGGAACGATAACGCCACCTACGCCAAATTACATTTTCAAAATTTTCATCTTCATCATCAACATCATTTCAGCCATCATCCGTCCACTGTTGGATACTTCCCCTATAGACTGCCATAAAGAATGGTCCTGAGCCACCTGTATCTACTGACTCCCTGCAATGCATTCAGGTCGTCACTCCATGTAGTAGGGGGGGGGGGGTATCCTACGCTTTTGTTTTACAACACAGGGGGCAAACAAACATGCGTCTCACCGGATGGTGACTACCGCCGTCCATGACCACCCACAACACCAACGGCATTATAGGCGTGCTACCGACCTTTTAAAAAGGAATATGCTCTTTTCTTAAAGGTTACATTGTCATATTGGTTCAGAGATACTGCTACTGGAAGTTGATTCCAAACAATGGTTGTGCGTGGAAGAAAGTGCATTGAAAAACGCACGGTGGAAGATCGCGACTTGTCGAGATGGTTGGGATGAAACTTTAGTTTGTGGATGGTTGTACAGTGGTGAAAAATACTGGTTGTACAGTGGTGAAAAATACTGTAATTTGCCCGTACGGGATCGCCACTCAAGAACCTTTCTTCCCTATCGGTTGTTATCTAAATTTTAGATAGCGTATTTTGTCACAGGCAGGTTGGATTTTAGAGTTTCTGTGTAAGGTTAAAAAATTTTCAATTTCATAAGTATTCCTTGTTTCAAAAATAAATTGGTAATTAATGCTCATTTCCATTCAGAGTTTGCTGGAAGAGAAATCTTACAGAGTTAAGTTCACCTGTTGTGAATCTTTATTGAAAATTAATTATAACATATAATTATAAATATAATTTTTGTGTATAATAAATTATAAATAAATAAAAAAAAAATATTTTTTTCCCAAATTTGTGAATTCAAGTTTGGGATCTTAACCTTCAGATGAAGTCTCTCTTAATTTTATGAGTAATATGATAAATGATGGAGTTGATGGTGGAACTTGAGAACTATACTTGATAGCTGGACGAGAAGCTGATTTTTTTTGACAAAAAATAATATAATTAAATAAAATATATTATAGCTAATTAGAAATGTAAAAAATGTGTATGTTTCCAAAAAATTATTTTTATTTATTTATTTTTTATTTAATATCACAAAAATACAGAATTACAAAAATATGTTAAATTCAAAAAAGCATTCAGAAACCACGTAGGTTTATATTAATGCCAAATACATACATACATACATATCGGTCACGCCTGATAATTTGTATAAAGCGGTTTTTTAACCTGTCTATTTTAGACTACACTTTGGATAGTGCTAAAAGCCTTTACAACAGAATTTGACTGGCGATCCGCACACCTAATGAATCCGTGATTGCTATCGATCGCCCTACATATGCTTGTAATGAGTCCAAAGCCGAAGGAACGGCCGTTCATGCATTATTAATCAGTTACAACGGCCGTTTATTATAATTTACCGAGAAATTGTGTTTTGTTTGCAAATAGGTAGGTAGGTAGGTAGGTATATGAATAAAGAAATAAAGTGTAATGTGTTTGTTTATATTGTCATATATTATAACATTAACTCATGTTTTTCTCGCTTGCAATAAAGTAGAGGAATTGTCCTTTTTATTAATGAAGAATTAATCAGAGTCGATTTGCATATAAAGATTGGATACCGTTTAGGATTTAAAATTAAGTAATTAAGTAACAAGCATCACATTTATTTTCTTTTCATTTAAGAGTTTCCTCTTGTCGGTGCAACTAATTCATGCATCTTCCTCCAGCCAGCTCTATCCCATGCCATATCCTTGACCTCCCCATACGACATGACGCCTAGTGTTTCTTTTATTTGTAGTTATTCCAAATTTTATAATTAAAACATGGGGGGCAAGGGATTGTTAGTAATGAAGACTGAGAATCCCATTGCTAGCAATATACCCAACCAGCTCGACCTCCTCGCGGTTCCCCCTGGAAACTATCATGGTTAATTCCTGATGAATTCATCATGATGGGCTAACTGGCCTGTTTTCATTCTCTTCTATCACCCTTCACTGGTGCTCCGCCAGCGTATCCCGTTAGCGCAGGCGGGGCTACCATACCATTTTCAGCTATCAAAAAAAAATTATTACCAACATATTCTTAATATACATAATCTGTAGTGAGTAAAAATAAAATTATTAACATTTTTAAGGGTATTATTCTATCAGAAAATTTAATATTTATTCGAAAATGAATTAAAATTTCCAACGATAAATAATGCGTATGCTTGTCTATATGTTATATAATTCTACTTGACATTTGACTGTGTAAATGAGATAATGGGTTTACTAATACAGTGCCTAAATATAAACTATGTACATAACAGTCATAATAATAATTAGTTGCAATACATTTGCCCTTTGGAGACATTAACCTAGTCAACTCGACTATCATAGGCTTCGCACACAAGTTACTTATCGCTTCGCCACTTTTGTATTGGATTGAATATTTTATTTGTTTAAACTTTATTTACTTTAAAATGTTAGGACACTTGATACGACTCGACGAACTTATGAACATTATAATAGAAGGTAAAATAGAAGGAAGGAGGGGGAGAGGGAGACCGAGACATAGTTACATCAGACAGATCAAGGAAGGAGTTGGTGTCGTGTCGTATCAAGAGGTGAAGAAACTCACTAAAAATCGTAGTGAGTGGCAAGAACTCCACCGACAAGAGCGCAGCTCTTAAATAGATAGACAGATAGAAACTTTATTGACCATTAAAATGTGGTGCAAAAGCGGACTTTATTGCTATAGGCATTCTCTACCAGTCAACTTTTAGGATGTGCATAGGTACTCGATGACGGTGTAAAAAAATTGTTTATATTTCAGTATAATATGGTAATTACATACATACAAACATTCATAAAATAAACATACATATTAATATAGTATTTATATATTAATACATAAATACTATATTAATATGTTAATTAATATAAGGGCCACTCCTTTCTTTCCAGTAAATATCGTAAGAGGCGACTAAGACAACTTAGTGGTCGAGGGATGAGCAATGTCCCTATTAAAACACCATCAAAAGCCTAACTGCGGTTGACAACCCGTCTGCCAAAACTGGCAAAACTTACCTTATAGGAAAGACTATGTTCAGCAGTGGACCAGTGGACAGTTAACGGCTGTTATGATGATTATATATATATATATATATATATATATATAATCATCATAACAGCCGTATTATATTATATTTATATATATATATATATATATATATATATATATATATATATATATATATATATATATATGTTAAATACAACATATAAATACCAATGAAAGAACTATTAGCACAGATAATATAATACTATCTATTAGATACACTTGGGGAAAAAGATGAACGGAGACTGGCGACCCCACTGTTATCAATGTGTTTGCCCATCCATTAGACCAGGGATCAGCAACCTGCGGCTCGCGAGCTACGTGCGGCTCTTTGGATGTGAAGTCTATTTAGCAATTATCATACGCAATATTATTTATTTTATAAAAAAAAATCATTCTGAATCGATTAACGAGGATTAGGCACCAAACTTTATTTATGCAAGTACTATTTAATGTTGGGAAAAAATTTTTGTGACTCTCAAAAACTTTGTGATTTTGTAAATTGTAATTTTTGACTCAAAAGGTTGCCGACCCCTGATCTAGACTGTAACTAAGGCAATTTCCGTTAATTATATGTGGTAGCTTTTAATTGGTTATTGTAATTAATTGTCATGTATATTTAATTATTCATTTATGATAGCTGTAAACTTCCCTTAAAAATTAAAATAAATACTGAGGTGTTTGCTCACACGGAATTCATAAATCTTACTGTAGTTACAAAATAAGCGTAGGAAGCAAATTAAAAGAGATCCAGTTTCAGTTAATAATGTCACAAAACTTAAGATTGTTTATCTACCCACTAAAAACGTTTAACCTTTGAAAAAGGAAGAGTAAAATTTTGAACTTATTTAATAGAGTAAAAGGCTTCTTTGAACTTTTGTAATTCAAGTTCAAAAGCCAAAGTGTAAACGAATTGTAAAGAAGACATGGTTGGTTGAATCACGTTTTCCAAAGAAACCTTACAAGAAATTAATTATGTGGCTATAAATGAATTATTTATATTTGTTTACAAACTACTTGCAAAAACAGCAGGTTCTCAATTTCTACTTAATTTTATAGTAGTCTTTACCTGCAACTTCGTCCGCTTGACCGGAATATTCTTACAGAAGATTAGGTAACGTGGAGACTGCCGGAGAATTTAGTATTTACACTGTAAAAAACAGACGGACTCTCAACAATTTCATAAATATTTAATTGACAGAACATTTACAATCAATACTCAACATTTTATAAGATATTATTATTATTTTTTAACTATTATTGCATATAAATTATATGTGTGTAATTTTTTTGTGTACAATAAAGTATAAATAAATATTTTTTAATGGGTAATGATGGAATGGTAACCCCACCCGCGCTATCTGTACACACCGGCGGGGCACCAGTGAAGGATGATAGCTGAGGATGAAGTAGGAAAGTTAGCCCATCGTGACGAATTCAACAAGAATTGTTCACGATGGTTTCCAGGGGGACCACGTGGAGGTCGACCTAATAACGTATATTGCTAGCAATGGGGCTGCCAAACCCCGTTACTAACAATCCCTCTTCCCCTTTTTACAAGACATTGGGCAAACAACGAACGCTAACTTTCTTGTCTAAGGAATTAGTCCGCCTGTATTGTTTATTTACTTTATTATACACTTTTCTTGTTCAATAATCTTTAAACAAACAAACCAAATTTTCATTGACTGCAAATTACATTTGTCCACGCGTGCGCTCGTGATCGCATTGTTAACTCAAACCAGTATATTCTGGATTAACTGAGACATCAGTGACGAATTGTAAGATGTAACTGGTACAAGAAATGATAATAGAATTGGTGTATCCTGAAATTTAGAGCGTCATTGTTCATAGAACAATAACAATCGTACTGACTCACTTAGTAATTGACTTCAATCATTTACGACTTTGTTACGTAACAGCTACTTCAATCGTGACAAAATTGATGGGGGATCGATATAGGAATAAAACTTTTTGGCTACAATAAAAATAAATTATCAAAATAAAAAAACCACTTTTTTTGAAAAAAATTTATTAGGTTTTAATACTTTTGTAAATAAAAAAGTAAAGGTTCTTGATTAGACTGCACGAATTCGTATGTATGTATGTCACGTTACATCTTTGGTCATTTTGAACAAACTTTGATATATAATTATTTTTATAAAATACTAGTTTCTGTCCGTGATGTTGTATGCGTGGATTTTGGAAGCGGATAACTAATTCGAGATGGTGTATTATTATAAAACATGCACCAGATTTTATGTTACAGTTTTTAAAGATTTAGTTCAGAAACATAACTGTGAAAATCGTATTTAATTTGGTGCAGTAATTTTTACCTGATGCGGGAACAAAAATACAGGCAGACAGACAAAATTCCAAAATTAATGTATTTGCTTATATTAAATACTAGGTGTCATGTCGTATGGGGAGGTCAAGGATATGGCCTGGGATAGAGCTGACTGGAGGAAGATGCATGAATTAGTTGCACCGACAAGAGGAGACTCTTAAATGAAAAGAGCTTATATTACTCCTATTAAGACTCTATATATTTTTTTCTTAAATATCCATCATGTACAGAGATCGTTTAATTACATTTTTCATAATAAAAGTATGAGTGACAGTTAACTACATACGTAATAATAGAAGTACACATAAAGTGTGGGCATACTTGTCAGCAGTCAGATAAAAATGAACATATAAAATAGGTACAATTGTGTTATTATTAAATATTTACTTATGCCTGTTATAATAACAGATTACTTATTAATCACTATACACGTCTACTTTTGACCTTATTTCCACTTATTCAGTCGCTAAGTAGCTATGTTTTGTGTGGTTTAAAAGGTGGGATGTTGCAGTAAAATTACAGTACAGGATATGGAGTGTCGGAGATGTGGTGAGTGCGAAATCGAACCCATGTCTCCGACATATGGCACCTTGAGGGTATATCGTCTGATTTTTGGTGGGTACACCCCCGCCTAACGGGGGGATTCCCACACAAGATATGAAGGTAGAAATTCTTAATTCTGGATGGCAGGGGATTGATAGTAATAAGGTGTAACAGCCCATTGCTAGCAATAGCACCCTATCATCATAGATTGACTTCCGCACGGTTCTCTCTGGAAATCATTGATGTTAATTCTTGTCGAATTCGTCAAGTTGAGCCAACTGACTTACATTCATGCTCACTTATCATCCTGTACCGGTATCCCACCAAGTCATGTAGCGCTGACGAGGTTAAAATCTATTTTCAATTAAAAAAAAATCTGAGTAATAGTAACCCATGAGGGAAAGGTACACCAAGGGGTATTTGAATGTCCATGGCGTCATTCTTATTTATAACATAGGTGATGGTTACACTCTCTACCAGAATAGTTATCAGTTTGTTTGCTAAAATAAACTAGTCATTCTATAATGTCGATAATATGCCAAAAACGAAGTTCCTAATATAACAATAAATAAATCTTTTAAGGAAAACAGTCAGTTATTTCTATTCAACACGAGTTGTATGTATTCTATATTAGTACTTCATTACCATTTCAATACTGCTAAACAGATAATGTATTAGTACATATCTCATACATACAAAAATGAACATAACAAACGAGCGATAGTCTTTCAACTACAGTTGCTTCTAGTTGAAAGACTATCGCACGAATAAAATTGAAATAAAACTTAAAGAAAATTTAACAAATTCATATGTATGTATGTTTTATTCATTTGCATCTATTTATGTATGTAGATATATTATAAAGATTTTTAGTAATGTGGTCTAACAACCCCAATATATCCCAGCAGGTCGACCTTCACATAATTCTTTCATCTTTATCTATCATCTCACCAATGAGTGATTTTTTTTATACAACTTAGAATGGCAAACAAGCTGACGGCCCACCTGATGGACAGTGGTAACCGTCGCCTATAGACATGAGCGGTACCATGGACATAACAGAGTATACTGTTTCGCCCATGATACCCCTCATGCGTTGCCACTCCTGAGGACTCGGGTGTTATTCCTCTGTACCCAGTAAATTCACGATATGTAAATGATATTGGAGTACATTGGGCACCAGTGCCCAATGTTATCCAATATCACCCATTAGGTGATTTTTTAATGAAGGGTAAGGAATTGTTAGCTTATTAACAATTCTTTTGGGTTTGCTAGTAATATACCCTATCAAATCTACTTCCACGCATTTCCCCCTACAAACCGTGATGATTAATTCTTGTTAAATTCGTCAGGATTGGCCAATTGCACTGCTTTCATATTTCTAGCTGGTGTCCCGCCAGAATATTGTCATAGTCGTAGAATACTGACGGATCTTTATATGTAATCTTTGTCAGATCCGTCAGTATTCTACAACTATGACGATATACACAGGGTTACCATTCCATTATCGCTTATTAAAAAAAAAATTATATGATGAAAAAGAACCACTAATATTATTAAATAATATCGTGGTAATAATATAAAATCGCCAGAGTATCTAAACCAAGAAACAGCACGTGGCGCGACACGATGGCTGATAAACAATTTTTCGTTATGCCTTTGTACTCGACAACGTCAGCGGTACAAATGAGATTTTTATCGCTCGCTCTCGTACTTGGTTATTTTCAGATGCACATGATCTCACCTACAACTACAACCGTGAAATATTATTTTAAGGATGAACTAATTCAATAAAAGATAACTCTTTTTTTTTAATCAATAAATTCATTTTTTATTATACTTAGATGGTCATCATTTTCATCATTTCTGCTGTTGAACACAAGCCTTCTCCAAAAGTTTCGCCAGTAGTTGCCACGCTTGGCAAGCGGATTGGCAACCGTCGTTTGGCTTTTGTGATGTTTTGAGAGGGACGATGCTGCCTGTCTTTTGACCATTGGATTCCCTTAGTCGCCTTATACGACACCCACAGGAAAGGATTGGGTGGTCCATTCTATGCCGGGATCACACGGCAAACTTTTTTTATGATATTTAAATGATATTATGAGATAAAAAGTCATCTAAAGAAAAATGATAACCGTCACCTATAGACATGAGCAATATGCATATAATTAATAGGTATTAAAGACATTTTAAAAATCGAATTAAAAACTATCCATTTTTTTTTTTGCTGATTTAATTCATATTTTACAATTGGTTTTAATTTAGTTTAATATTAATCTAGTTTTATAGTGTCAAATTATTTATAATTTGAAAAAATAAAATAAAGAGTATATAATAACTAGCTACAACAAAAAAAGATAAATACATTGCTGGAAGTCAATGGATGCAGATGACTCGAGTCAACGGCTGATATGACAATGATGATATTTCGTAATCTTTTTAAATTTTGACGCTTAGTATATAAACGTAGATCAATAATATATATCTATAACTATCAAAGGCATTCCTGAAACTGTTACCCATTAGGCATGGATATTACATATCTCACCTCCTATCCAATCGCGTAGCTTGCGTCACACGATTTACTCATTAAAAAAAATAATTACAACACGGTCGCTGTACGAGGTCTGTCCGGAAAGTTCGTATAAAAGTGTTCTGGAATGCGAGAAAGAGGAGTGGGGAGGCCAGGTAAGCGCAGGACCCCTTCCTTATGTCCCTAACAATGCTTCAGTTCTGGTCTGACCGCCGTGCGGTGCGAACTGGCTTGTCACGCCATCTGTGAAGTTACCTCTTAACGAAACCCCGTCGGCATGGAGCCCGCTTCCGTTGAAGAGCAGCGCGTCGTAATCAAGTTTCTCTCGAAACTCGGCAAGAATGGCCGTGAAATTTTTGCCGATCTCAGAACAGTTTATGGGGATGATGCTGTGAAGGAACCAACCGTCCACAAGTGGCTAAAAAGATTCAGAGAGGGCCGAGACAATGTTGATTGTTTTTTTCGATGTTCGGGGGATTGTCCATCAAGAATTCGTCCCTCCAGGCCAGACAGTTGATGGAAAATTCTACGTCGATGTGCTCAGACGCCTCAAAGCTCGTGTGGCACGAGTTCGTCCAGAATTGGCGCGAGAGGGGCGTTGGATTCTTCACCACGACAATGCCCCTGCCCACACCTCTCTTGTTGTCCGTGAGTTTTTGAGTAAAAATTCCATTACGGTGACCGAACACCCCCTCTATTCGCCGGATTTGGCCCCGTGTGACTTCTT